GACACTGACTCGATGCTGGCAGTGGTGCGAGTTTGAAAATGTCATTGATAAACATTAATAAAGACAGACCCAGAGATAGAGAGATCAGCAGCATCGAATGCCATTTATGTTGACCAAGGGCTGAACAGACAGCTGTGTAAAGTGCACCATCTCCGCTTGTTCTGAGCTCCAAATTCTCCTGTCAAATGCCCAAACAGTGGTGTGAAGGAGATTCAGGGGCATTGGATTGAAACGGTGCAAAACGCTCATCTACCTCAACAGATGTAAATAGCATCTTATATAAAAAAAATACTGTATTTGTTTACAGATGTATGATAGTCATGAAGTCAACTGCAGACACAAAGACAAGTTACAAACCACCTCAGTGAAATCTGTCCAGCAGAGGGCGGTGTTCTCAAAACGACCCCTGCTGCCCACTAAAGCAAATTCATTCACCCCAAGTTTGTTTGTTTTGTTAAATGTTGGTAACGCTTAATTTTGATAATCCACTTTAGGCATTCTACTAACTATAAGTAACTCTGCAACTACATGTCAACCACCAGTCATTAGAGTAGTAAACTGTCTGCATAATATCTGCTAACACTTTTATTTTGATTATCCTTCAACAGACATTCTACTTTTTGCAAGTACATGACGGCTTATTCTACTGCTGAACTGGTCATTCCAGACATACTCATTTGTTTTTACTGAAAGGTGAAGTACCACCAACATCAAGCGTAGCGTTAGTTCTGGCAGGTCACGTTAGCCTTATGATTCTCCTTTGAATCAGACTAATTCTAAATGTGTACATAAAATTATTGAACTTTAACGATATCTGCAATACATTTATGTAGGTTCTGTTCTGTTTACCCTGGGGGGTTATCGCTGCTCTCCCTGCTCTCATCCATGCTAGGCTGCATGGATGCGCAGGGAGTTCTTGCCCAGAACAGAACCATACCGCCAATCCAAACTGTATGCTAATTGTCAATCATCTTTAACGATAGTGGTCCTGACAGAAATTTCATTTTTGTCAGACTCCTAATCAAATATTGAAAAATAAAATTCTTATATAATGTTTGTTTTGTTAATGTGAGTTGGTTGTCAGTTGTTGTTTTTCATTACTACAGTATGTTAAAGGCAGGGTAGGTGAATTGGTTCAAAAACATTTGTTGTTATGCTGGTTGAAAGTGTCTTCACATCCCGATAGCAATCACTAAGATAAGTGGTCTAAATGTATTTATATGTATTTATATCGTCTGTGGAAGGCGTAGGACCATAAAATGTTCATGCAATCATATCCATCGGTCCGTGGATTACGATAGGCTGTCCTACCTGCCTGTCAACATATGCATTTGCATACCTCTGTGCACACTGTTCACGCAGACGTGATAAGTCATCAGTGCGTTCCATTATGCTATTGCAGACCGAGCGAGAATGAAAAGCCTTATTATTGAAATATTTTGCGTTTTTTACTGTAATGTTTTCTCACCAGTGAATGAGACATGAGGTAATCTGACAGCGTTGCATTCAATGCTCCACAAACGCCGTCTCTCATCGTGTCGCTGGTTAGCTTCTGCTCTGCCTGTGCGCAGTCATGTGTTTTGGAGGAGGCGTGGCTTTGGAGAGTGATTTGCAAGGAGAATGGGATCTTATGCTTTCAAAGCTAGCTTGCTATTGCTAGCCTCTCTGAAATCGTCTGTCCTACCTTTAATACTATTTGTTTCTTTTAACATACCAGGCATGAAAATAGCTGTAGATGCTGGTATGGCAATAAAAACATACAAACAGACAATAACTTATTCTACTAACCCTAACATTACAGTCTACTAATACTCTAATGAGAGATTTAGCCAACATGTAGTTGCAAAGTTACTTATAATTAGTATGTTAGTAGAATGTCTAAAGTGGACAGTCAAAATACAGTGTAACATAAGGGTTTTAATTTTTTTGAGGATCAATTAAATACAAATATTTGAACTTTATTGTTAAAACTAAACCACATAGCAATGTGTTCTGTGGACTGAAAAGGGAAAGAGGGGGATATCTTGGTTCAGCATAATTTCTACTAAGGGCTCATATTTTAGAGGATAATGCAAATAAAAATTTATGAGCACAATTGTTAAAGCACTGAGACAAAAACACTCCAATTTAATGGCTCGTTTAAGCTGCTGTACTGTAAGTGGTCTTACTAACTTCCACCAAGCTGGATCAGACTGCCATCCCCATTTCAAGAACTACATGTCCAAATCCTGTCAGCAAATGGACAAAATGATTGACAGGCAGAGAGTCTTCTGATTGGCTAACATTCACGACTGCTGTGTGTGATTTCCCAGGACATCTATTTCAGTCATGTAGAGCAGAGGTTCTAAGTGAGCATTTGACTATAAAATATATTTTAAGAAATATATTTTGTCTCAGTAAAAGAGTCATTTTATAAACTTGGTGACAACTGGGTCACTTATATGTGTTACTACAAACATTTTTCTGAACAAAAAAACTGTATTTAGTTAGTTAGTTAGTTAGTTAGTTAGTTAGTTAGATCTTCTAGGCCTAATTTGACCTCTAGGTTATTTTGACCTGTTTCAAACTTCTCCTTGCTATATTAGGAAATATTTATTAATATAATATTAATGTATTAATATAAAATTTATATAATATTAATAATATAATAGTAAATTTTATAGTTTATATTTTATATTTATACTTTAAATATCTACAGTACATTTTTTTTACATATTTTTTAAATTGCATTTTTTTTTACATTTAAAATATACATTTTAGATAATATATTTTTAAGACTTATGTAAGACTTGAATTTGTGTACCCGCACTTTAAGGAAAAAAAAACAACAAAAAAAACTGAAAATGCAGTACATTGTAACCTATTTTTACAGACTTGTCTTATAGTGCAGGTGGTTGTGAATTGACATTACCGGCATATTTTTTCTCTTTTAATTAAATCATAAATGTCATAAATAAAAAAATCAAAATAAACCTTGGTTTAAAAAGCACAGTATTAAACTGGAAAAGACGGCTTTTATGGAATTAATATATTATATTCAATCATTTGAAATCTAACAAAGTTAATTTTATTAAATGTTTTTGCTTAAAAATGTATGCTATTTTTTTAAATAAATACCACTAGGTTTGATATTTTGTTATCTAATGCAGTGACATTCAGACATTTAAAATGCATCTTAAGCATCCAAATATTCTGTGGGGCCGCTATCTATCAGGTAGTGGGGATATTTTATGTGTGGGATTTAAAAAATTGCTTACAGGAGCTTTAAGCTCTCCAGTAATTTGAAACCAACAACTCCAATGAATATGACAGAAACTAAACGTGGTGCAGAGCAGCGATACAGCGCTCCTGAGCTGATTAATATAAACATGAGTGTGTGGGATTCCAGATGATGTCATGACTATACAATCTAACACTGCTGCAGCATGACCACACACACACACACACACGCACTCTGAACAACCATAGTTTATATTTAGCCTTTTAAAGACATTGTGACAATGAGTCTTTGTGAGGGTCTGGAAACTCTTTTTTTGGGGTGATTTTGAAGAGTTCCAGCAACACACATATGGGTTTTTTGTGTAATCAGAGATGCACGGAGGCAGACGTGATGAGAGGGGGGAGAGTTGTGTTAGGGGTTATGTGTGTGCGTGAGAGTTCATTTTAGCTCAAGTCCAAGATAAGACTAAATACTTCAAACTGCACAGCTGTTACACATTACACTGTATAATAATTTGTGGTGTTTGCTAAATTGTGCTATTTCGATATATAAACAATTGATTTTTACCTGGCGGATGATAAAGCAGGCAGTAAAAACCCATAGACTGACATTGTAGCACACTTCCCTGCAGTCACCCAGAATGCCCTAGAAACCACCATGAAATGCCATAGCAACTACTCAGAACACCCTAGAAACCACCTTTCAAAGTCAAAGAAACTAATGCTATAGCAACCACATTTTCTTCAGAAAATATATAAATCTGTTTGTTTTCAATAAAAGTTACTATAAATAGTTACCTAATTACTGTTCATACTAGCATCTGCTAAATATTCTTCTCTTGATGAACATGGGAAAATACTATAAACTCATTCAACACAGTTTTAATAAGAATCTAGTTCTTTTCCTTTATTTTTTTTTACAGAAACACTTTCATCACTGTATACACAGATTTGTCGAAGTTGTAAATAAAACAATGATTATTTGAATGTGTTTTACAAGGAAATGCTGTAAAATACTGCAATCAGTAGATGACTCTCTAAAGAGTCACAAAATAAAAGTTGCTACAAACAGAAGTTGCTACTATGATGCCCAGATGTTGTGGCTGTTTGTCGTGTGTCGCTATGCGGGTAACCAGGGTGTTTTGGTTGGATCCTTACTAGTCCAACTGTAAAAAAAAATATCTACAGTCACAATAATTTTCCAAAATTTAGTTTTTGCAGTGATAGACAAACCATTTTGGGTGAAAAGATCATAAAAGAACCATTTTTCTTAGTGTAAAGAACATTTTAATAAACTAAATAACCTTTTTTTCGCTATAAATAACCTATTGTGTAATGGAAAGGTTCCAAATATGTTAAAGGTTCTTCATGGACTCATAGATGCCAAGAGAATGAGTGATATTTCGGTTGCTAAAACAAGAGTGATTATTTCTCTTTTTTTTCAGCCAATCTTCAGAACTTTAAAGGTTTAGAGAAACTCTGAAGTCGGTCTGCTTTTTGAATGAAAGCTGAATCATTTTACAGAGCAGAGAGGATGGAAATTGGGGGTGGAGTAGTGTAGGAAAGAAGAAAAAAAGGTGTAGTTTTTCCAGAGGGGTATTGCAGGGCTGGGCAGGGGGGTGTGTTTGTGCGTAAGGGGCCGGTTTTTTCTTTCCATTTGGGGGGGTTGAGGGTATCATTTTCATCCGTGTCCGTCCCGCCCCCTCCATGAGTACACCCCGCACACACTCCAGGTCCCAAAGTGGCCACAGAGACTCTGAGACTCGGACTAAAGTGGCAAGATGATGAAGAATGCCCTCTTTCTGGCACTGCTATACCTGCTCCAGACTGCCAACGGAGGTAAGCCCACTCAGTCTCAGTGTATTAGGATTAATAAGCCAGTCTAGCATAATATTATATGTGTTTGAATATTTGAAAGCAGTGCACAAGTTTTTACAAAAGTTGCATTATTGTGTATTCTGCAAGATTGTGGAGCTCGAGCTCAGTGGAAAAGCTTCAAACAACTCAAAGTGTGTGTTGAAGCAAAGGTTCCCTCACTGAAAAACTCATTCATACTTGTGAGGCTCGAGTCTGTTCTGCCGGTGTATAATAAACCCACAGTTTGGCGACCCCTCCTTCTCTCGCTTCCATTGAGGGCTCTTTGCATGCTTTGGGTTGTCTGGCAGCGGCTCGCGCAGATCAGAGGTCCTGAAATAAAGAGTCACTTTCAGAGGTGTGGATCAGCTGCCCTACGCACAGATGTTCCTGCTTTTCCGCTCCGAGATGTTTAGCGGCCCCTGTGAGACCTGCAGTCTAATTAGTGTGCGAGTTAAAGTTGCACTGAAGTGACCGTTGTTCAGCTTCGGATCAAAGCGTTTATCCATCACCAGCTGCCACAAACTCACATGACAGCACAGAAAACAGCAACACCGGCAAATTATCTACAATGTGCGTTTGAGCTGGTAGACTATCAAGAATGTTTTGGCATCTACGTCCTGTATCGCTAGACACCACATGAGGACCATGTGTGGAGAAATTATTAAGAGAGGCTGCAAACTAGTTAAAATCAATGCTTAACTGTAGCTGTGAGATGGGCTCGGGCGTGGCAAGGTGGGGGCGTGGCAGGGCGTGAAGGGGTGTGACACAAGCAGATGTTCAGAGTAAAGTTGTGTAAATTTCAAACTGAGTTTGGAACAGATTTGGTCAGTTTTAACCATGTAAAGCCTGACATAAAAATCTACTTTTCTGAAATGGAACTTTTGAACCTTGACTCTTTAGACACATTATGTGTGTGTGTGTGTGTGTGTGTGTGTGTGTGTGTGTGTGTGTGTGTGTGTGTTTATTGAGTGTCTTATTTGATACATCAGGCTTTCATTGCCTCATATAGTATGATATACAGAGAATATAGAGCTCATACTTAAAGGGGGAAAAATGCTTACATTTTATTCAGAGGCCCAACTGGGCAAAAATATGTTATTTGGTGCAGATGCTGATATTTATATGCCCAAAATGTAAGATGAAATTCTGATAGCTTGTAATGTAAATCAATAAGATTTTAAAAACACTACTGCATATAAATAATAATTTTCACTCTATATCTCCCAATATTATGTCTTAGTAATATGATATTTAAATGCTTAGTTTTATTATCAAAACTGCCCGTTTTATTGTAGGGGCAAAACATGTTAGGCAAAGCAAAACAATGATGACTGAGAGACGCACAAATAAATGTTCCTCAAAAGCCTGATGTATCATATTTGATACATTTTAACATGATTTTCTAATAAATTATGTCCTGAGAATCAAGCAAACCAAAGTTGTTTTTAAGGAGGGGCTTAGTGAAGGGTCACCAGTTCATAGGTTGACATAGAGTGAGTCTATAGCTTTGTGGCACTTTCATCATTGTTTGTTTCAGTGATCCGACATTTCAACTTATTGCTCAACCAGTGGCTTGAGTTCAGGGCGGGGCTTCCTGTTTGATTGGTAGACGGCAGGAGTGTTTGGGAAACCTATTTGGAAACAATCATTATTTTTACAGTCAAGCTACTAAAATAGAACAAAATGCACTGTACCTTTAAAATCGCAATAAAACAAAAGTAGCGAAAAATCTTTTCTTCTGTATTGTGACATACATCCGAGTGAAACAGATTATCAAAAAAAATGTAGGGTGGGGTTCTATCCATTAATTGTTAACCAGATGAGGTGGCTCTGAATGTGAGCTTGCAGTCGATTGTGATAAAGGGGTGGAGTTTAAGTGGACTAAATGATTGGAGAAGTCTGTTGTTTTATCGTAAGATCCAGTTTGCTTAAAAATGACGAGGTTGATACAAATGTAAAAAAAATTAAATATATGCATGAATGAATTGTTCATAGTAAGATCAATAACATGCATTTATAAAATGTAATTTCATGGACACTTTAATATGAATCATAAGGTATGGGAGACTGAATCATGGTGAATCAGATATTATTGACTCAGTAAGCATTGTACCAGTAACATCGGTGGACTATGAAACCTTCAAGCAGATGTATGTTGCCATGGCAACGTGCTACACAAACAGGGCTGTGAGCTGGTAAGCATTTTAGGCTATACAAGGAGTGTGTGAGAGTGTGTGGATATGTGTTGTGTTTGCAGCAGTGCATATGTTTGAGTCCGGGTAGTTGGCAGGTTAATAAATGTTTGTACAGCTCTGCACATTAGATTAATAAACATAATATTTGCATTTGTAAATTGATGATATTAGTTCGCCGGCCTCAGAGAGAGCCGCAGTTTCCAGCACGACAAGGGGTGTCTCAGAAACAGAAGGCAAACATTTATCTTTGCTGATCTCTCAGCGGTCTTCTGTTTGTGATCGGATAATGGGACGAATGTATCAAGATTATATGTGGGCCTTGAATGGAAGTAGTGTGCCATACGGAAAGAAAAGCATAAATCTGTCCATCCATCATATGCTACTGCATTTAGACAAGTACTTGTTCATAAATCATACAGATTTCCTGATTTAACTCCACTTTCGATTTCATTTGATTCTGATTCATTTGTATTTATTTTTGTTTAAGTGTTAATTTCTCTCTGTGTTAATACTGTAAGATATGAAGGTTTTAGACTGATTCAAACTATTAACTTTTATTAAATTGAACTACTCATTCAAAGAACCCTGTCACATTAGTTTGAGGAATTGGGTTTAACCGGTTGCAAAGTATGTGTTTGAGTCACTAAAATGAACTATTTCATAGGAGTCTTGTGTTCGTAAATTGGATTGCACAGGCCGTGCAGTATGTGTTTGATTCACAAAATGAACCGATTCATAAGAGTCATTTGTTCACACCTGGACCACACTGGCCATGCAGTATGTGTTTGATTGACTAAAAAGAACTGGTTCATACGAGTCATTTGTTTGTGAATCAAATTACACTGTAATATCTAAAATAATCTATATTTTTTACCCAGCCCCACCTGTTCCTGCCTTGGTGGATGGTTCTTGGTCAGAATAAGCTGCAATTCAGCTACACTTTATGCTGATAGTCAAACATCTAGTTATGTGAAACGAACTCTACTCCGGTAGTTGAGGTAGGGTCTACAGCGTTCCCGTCTGCAGTCCCCATGGAAACCTTCCGCCCACACTGGAATCAATGCAGAAAGTTTGAAACCCTGATGCTTGAGACTTTCCCTCTTCACTGTCCTCCTCAATAAATGATCTGTCAGTATTAAACACCGTACACACACACACACACACAACCCCGACAATACCAGACCGTAGGGAAGAGATAAACTCCATACTCCATATTCCTGTCATTTCATATTCATCCAATGGAATCTCATGTGGCACTATATGGAGACACAGAAGGTTTGTGGGTTGATATACCGTGATATAGCGTGGTCTGGGCAGTCGTCCCCACAGTGGCTCTTGGCCAAATTACTGTCACAACTGATCAGGTTAAATTTATCTTCGAGATCATCACTCAACTATTGCTTCATAAACAGACCTAAACATACACACACACTAGAGGGAGTCACAGTGTGGTATGTGAGTGTTTTTTCCTCTTTTGTATCCCAGAAATTGAGAATTAACCCTGAATAAAATACAGATTTTTCTATCTTGATGAGTTTGTCCATTTCTTACCACTGTATCCAACTACAAACTTCAGAGCTGTTCAACGAATAAGATTTTGATTTAAAAAAATGATTAGATTCTGTCCTAATTAAGCTGCTTATGAAAGAACATCTGGAAAGGTTTGCAATACACTAATGAATGAGAGCTTCATGGGTTAATAGTGAAAGTTGAAACTGTGTTGAGTGAATACTTGATGATTAGACTGAGTTGGCCTGGTGGAGTTCCTTGGTGATTAGATTGAGTGGTTCTGGTGGAGTCCCTGAGGGGAAGTTTTGCATGAGTCATCTTCATGAGACAGTACAAGGAACACCACAACATCACACAGTTTCCTCAGAAACAAAGCTTTCCAGTCTGCTGATCAGGAAACTAGGCCAGCAGCCACTATCTGGCTTGACAAGACCATTTACAGTGTGGTATCGCTCGCACTAGAGGGGGGCAAAACTGTGCAACCGCTGGAATTGAAGTCCATGCAAAAACAGATGGATGAATAGACATCTGCAGTTCACAAAACTCATAAAATAAAAAGTATTTTACAGTGGTGATCTACACAAGAAAGCATTTATGCCATATGGTGTAAGATATAAATAAATGTATGTTTCCCAATCTTAGAAATCCCATGATGACACTAAAAATAAAGGTTATAAAAAGGGTTTTGCAGCCTGATGCAACAGGAGAACTGTGCTTCTTTAGAAGCTTCTTTAGTTATACCACGATGTATATTGTAGTACTGAATGTTTACCATGATATTTACATTTTACTCCAAGGTACTTTGAAAAATACCATTCAAAAAAGTTAAAACTGCTGAATGGTCATGGTATATATAAAATTAGCTAATATTTCCATCTTTTTGAATATGCTACCCTATTAAATCCAAGAGCATTGCATTTTTAAGCACTAGTGAATTGGAAATAGCATGGTAAATAGTCAGATCATAGATTGATAGATCATATATACATATTGAAGTGCCATTGTGTTACTGTGGGTTTTTCAACATAGTTTCAGGTTAACTCCCAATACCATGATATTCTTTGAAGTACATTGGAGTAAAATTAAAATAGCACAGTAAATTAACAGTGCCATGGTATATATCAAAATACTGTACCATGGTACCACCACAGTGCTTTTTATGAGAATATAATGTAACAAGAACCTTTTTAATCTTCGAAGAATCACAGCCAACTCAAGAAAGCTAAATAGCTAAAATAATTCCTGAAAACTAGCATCTTTGTGAAAATAATTTCATTT